CTGCGTCCAGGCGAAATTTAGATGCTAAAAATGCCACCTGAATTTACAGACGATGCGCGACGGCTATAAGACTGTGAGATCTTAAGTAGTTGTATGAATATTTTTGCAACAAAAATGTAGAGTCAACTATCGACATTGCGATAATTAGTGGTAGTTTTATTATGAGAGTTTAGATGGGGAAACAGCTCCGGATTGCCATTATATCGCTCTTGATTTTGTAAACTGAATATGCAATAAAAGATTTGAATTTGAATATGTCGGTTTTATAAAGATATTACATAAAAGTTTTCACACATTCATATTTTAAAATTATTTTTAAAATATAAGCAGAATTTTATTTGACGTTGATTTATTAAGGGAAACCATTAACATTGAAAATTTTTGCTGTAAGGTCTATGAGTTTGCCGAAAACCTTGGCACTTCCAGCAACTCTATCTACTAGTACATCTCTGTCCGTATGTCACCACAAAGCGCTCTCGAAAATCATGCAAGTAACCACAGACAAGTTGATTTGATTTTATGGTTACATCTCACTGACGACTTGTAAGTAGGCGACCTTTCATAACGTATTACCTTACTAGCTTATTTGTGCGGCTTCGTTTGTCCTTCCTTCGATCCGAGATAGTGATGATATTGATATCTTACTCCTTTGGTCTTGTTCAAAGAGGCATACCGAAATGATGCTTGGTTTAGTGTTTTATTTATTAACTTCTGTGGCTTCGCCCATGTGGGTTTCAGATTTACACATTAGTAGAAGATAATGTCATTTTTATGTACTTAATTGCATTGTAAAGTTTCATCAAAAACCGTCCAGCAGCTTTTGCTTGAAGGAGTAACAATTGTCTATCCGATACCTTCTCTCAAGCTTACATTGTAAGTATGATTATGTACAATGATAACAATAAGTAGGTAATTGCTTTGCAAACGATCCTAGGTTACGGTGTCCAAATTGTAAAGCTCTAAAGCATTTCATTCCAAACAGCTTTTGAACTAATAAGTATTTAATTTATTCTGACACGTGCCTTTAATCGAATCCGTAATACCAATTTGGTTCATTGTTTCGTAACACTTGATAAGATTTAATTTCGGTAGCGAATTCTGAACTTGAGTACTTACTTTCACAATTTATGAGACAGGCCTTATTAAATATTTGCTGGTGTTACATAAAGCTTTAAAGATGTGAGGTTAATGCATGCATGTAAGTGCTACCAGTTTTTTCTCTGTTCGATATTGAAGAGGCCGATTTTATTGCTTGATTTAACAAAAAATCTTGCCAAGATAGTTGAAGCAAATTGGATTTCAGCCTAAAGTTATAATGTATTTCCAGGTACAGAAACGCTTTTAATAGTGATGTAACAAAGAAATCTAGCCCGAATATTATCACGTAAACTTAACACGCACGATTTACTTTTTCGTCAGCGAAAATTACATAAAACAACTGCAATCTAATAATATTAGTTTCCAAACAAAACAGTTTGCATCGGTAATTGCATTTGCGTCACAACAAAAATACGCAAAAAGCGCGCTACGAAATCCGACCGCAGGAGTTGTACTCGTAACTGCAAAGCGTTCGGTAGTTTTTCAATAAGCAATAAATAATGTAATGCAACGTAACGGTGGCGAGCACGCGCCACTAACAAGCTGTGCCGTGCGCCCGCGCCGCGCGGCGTGCCATCGTTGTGCAACCGGCCCCACCCTGCTCAGGCACTTTACATTCGACGCAAGGTACAAGCGGGAGCGTGTTGTTTAAAGTTATTGCCTATAAGAACGGACGCTTATCAAACAACAGTGTTTGTATGTAGACCCAGCAAAACGGGCTATTTGATACAAGATAAGTACTTAGGTCCATAGGACTTTAGCCATACCTAGAATTTTGAACAGAATTAGATTATTTTATATCTTTATTAGCCCAGTTTTCAGTGTAGGTGCATCATCTGTATCGGCAGTAAAATATTAACAAATTCATCATACTACCATTCATATTAAATTTCAAAACACAACTTCATGAAAAATACGCTTCATTTTAGCCATGGAAATGGAGTCTGTTTTCAATTTGCTGGAAAAGTTAATTTTAAATAGCTCTGAAACCAAGAAAATTGCGTCCATAGAGAGAGAATAGAGTTCGCAAACTAGTGACAATGTTAAGTGGCAAGCAAGAGACGCCTTTCGACAGCTGATTATACGATAAATATGTGAATCGACGCTGTATCCCTTATTAATGAAATTACTTTGTACATTAATATGTATTCCTATAATGTTGTTGTTGTCCATGTTGTGAATACCATGCTTTGGGATAATGTCTGGTTTTGCTTTTTTATTCATATTGTCATTGTATTGCTTGGATATTGTCCTGTTTTGTATACGTAATAAATAAATAAAATAAAATGTGTCCTTATAAAACACAAGAACTGTTATTGTGGTCGAGAGGATAGTAGTGGCCTATCCTTGTTCTTGTTTTTCAGAATAAAAGCCTAAATCCTTAGACTTGGACCAACGCCTTATTGATTCCGTTCTTCACCCGCCCGTGTTCACAATGATACCTAAGTACCTGTGTATATGAACTTTCTGATTCCAAACTAGATCTCCGCACGGAGACCAGCTGTTATTTAACTAACTATTGTCCAAATAAAAAAGCTCCATCTATTGTTGTGAACGTAGATACGAATGTACCGACTGTCCTTGAAATAAATACCTTTCTAATACGTAGTTTCTATGTCGAAAATGAGATGCACAGAGCGATAAAGTCTAATAATTACTATAGTTAATAACTCTTTCAGGTTGGTTAGTTATACAAATTAATAATGAGCATTTTAGATCGATCATGATGGGCGTTTAGATCCTGGTAACTATGAATCAATAACAAAGAATAAATTGAACTGGATATTTACGATTCTTGGCCTATATTTCCTTGATGTGATGCGATAACGACTTCGCATTTACTATCAAGTCATTTATTTTAGACATTTTTATTGTTTGTTATTTATACATTATACAATTTGCTAACATTCTTTGCAATGCTCATGATTATATTAATTTAGTATTCATTCAAGCGGGAGCTAGATGAATAGCTGATGGCGTAGGTAGTAATTTTTTATCTATTAATTTAATAAACGCAGATCATAATCTACAGGACGTGCGGAGATTTTCAATCTGGCATGATAAAAGTGCGGAAAGCTAGGCACTGTGGTATCTTATGGGATTGTAATAGGTCTCATTTTGCGACAAAAAATTGTATGTTGATGACCGTGCGTATGCACTTTGCTCTTAAATTTGACCTTACTAATATTTTTCGAATTCCTAGAGACGTTTAAGTATCAGTGAACGAGAAACAATAGAAATAAATTGTTAACGTGGACTCATGCGACCACCTAAAGGGTTTCACGAGTTAGAGGACTTTGCAAGAACCTATTTTGGGTACGATTTAGGTAGGTACTAAGATAATTATCGTACTTATAAAAAACTACGCAACTTGGACTTGATCTACTCATGACTAGTTTTTATAATCATTTCATAAATTGCACTTGCTAAACAGATCTGTCAAACAGGTCCATATATTTATACTCTATCAAGATTATAATTAATCATGAATCTGATGGTGGTTATATCCAGATTTAATAAAAATGAAAATTCGGGACTTTTTTCCACTGATTAAAAAGGTTTTTTAAATTTTCTGACCTTTCTATATCTTATATTGTTTCTTAAGTTGTAAAGGTAGGATTATTTAATTTTAACTTTGTATGTATTTTTGTTGGGAAGGAACAAATAGTGATATTGTGTTCGAATAAATAACAATATTATTTTGATTCTGATAAATAGATTCTAGCGATGACCTTACTCTTACGAATTTGAAGCTTTCAGACCTTTGTAGTTGCACAAATACTTAACAATTTTGGTGTTGGTCTTATTATAGACCAACTGGATTTCTCAATCCCATGATTCAGAGGATTTACTAGGATCAGCAATCGTAAGCAGTAATTTTCAAATGGACGATGGGCCAGTAGTTCATTCAGATAATGAGTCCAATAAATCCGTGCTTTGCCAACATGGCTGGTGCTATGGTCCGATGTTTCTGGGCGGTTCGTTTGTCGCAAATTAATGGCAATAAAGCATAATCATATCGTAAACGCTGGCTGCGCAAGCGACGCGCCCGCGGCGCCTGCGATGCCAAGATGGCGGGTGCCGATTTATAACGTATTAGATGGATTTTTTAAGATGAGATTGACGCCACTGAGAGAAAAACTGGTGTTTTAATATGCCTGTCATTAATTTAAAAATATGGCAAGTCGATTTATATTATGTTAAAATCCGTTTATTATAATAAAAATATCTGAATAGCCCATCACACACATGGCTGAATGGGCCAAAAATTACTCCACTGTAACCCAATTGTGAGATTCCTTGACGGCTTCGTGTTGGTTTGGAGGTTTCAATATTGACTCATGTTTTGATGTCGATATGAACTGCGATATGGAGTCAAATTGGCGTCTTTTAAATGGAGCGTAGGTGACCAGTTCCATCCAATTTGGACAATGTCTAACCGAGGCGGTTGCTTCCGCACTCGTACCTACTGCTGCTGGTTTTAATCCAGCTAGGGTAATTTGCATGTAACTTCGGCATACTTAAAGATCTTATCAGACAGTTGATGGTAAATAAATAAACTGCCATCATTCATGCCATAGAATAGTCTACTTCTTTTATTGAGAATTTACTTATCGGAAAACCTAACAGTTGGTTGGTTGACGTCTGCCACCACTAACATTATGTTCTTCTGGCAAAAAGGTTTAGGAAGAAATAGTAAAAATATAAATACAAGCTCAATTTATTGTTATTTATTTCATTTTGACAAGGTAATCGGTGACCTTTGAACGACTAATAAGTATCAAAAGTACAAAACGATAAGGTAATAATCTCTATTTTCTATTAATGTTAAGTTAAATAGCATCTCGTGTGCGTTTTGGTACGAGTGAACAAAAAGTTGGAGGTTTGTCCTTTTTGAAGTATGTATTTGCAGATGGAGTTTTAAAATAAGTGGATGAGACGTGTGAAGTGTAATCTCACATTTTACTCACTAGTTTTATAAGGAAAGTTCAGTTTTAAATTAAGCTCACTATTGAGTTTTCTTATCATGGAATGTTTTGTGAAGTATTTGAAACTGAAAAACTGCTTTCTTCTCCAGAAAAATGAAGCGTAACGTTTAAGATCTTTAAGATTCTTTTGTAAAGAAATGTAATATCTTATGGTAATAGATTTTGTAGATCACTGTTTACATACTACGAAAAGGACATCACAAAAAGCCTGGGGCATGGCAAGTAATATTTAAGGTAACATTGACTCTGAAATTAAGTGTTGTGAAACTTAGAAGATTAGTAATAAATAGGCACCTAAATATAAAAACCTATTTCACTTCTCTCACAATATTTATCATACTTTTTAATCTTTTACAATGTTGTCTGTCTATACATCATAGTCATTCAATGGAAAGCATAGTAAACTTTATACTCGTAACAATTATAGAGATCTATCTATACTTAAAGGAACGTTAGGATAAACATAAATCTTTGAGAGACTTTTAAAATCAAACATGTCGAAGGATCCAATTGAAGCCCAGTAATAAATTAATTAAAAAATCACAGTTTTAAACATTATCTTAAATTTAGTAATTTGGAGTGCATGATTACATCATTATGCAGAATAATCTCTTATCTGAATTAAAATTCTAATTTACAATCTCAAAACATACGATAAAATACATATAATCTGCGTAATATTTTGAAACTTAACAATGAAGGCATCGGTGCAGCGACAGACATAAAACTCATGCCCGTATTCAGAAACGACGTTCAAAACTCGATTCATATTCAAGCTTAAATTCGACCTTTTAATTGGTTGTAACCAAAAAGCTTGGATCTTTACATACGTTTTGAGCTTGGTTTCGTAGTACGGGTCTCTGTGACCGATGCCGAAAACGAAAAAGAAAATAATTTATGCAACATGTAGTACATAAGGTTTCGAGTAGTTACGCAAAACTTCTCCAACAATTTATAAAAAAATATTTATAATATTCTTCAATAAGCAACAAGTTATATTTTTATTGGTAACCGGCGTTTCCTTTCAGACTAATAATACTAATTATATTACATCGAATAAAGCAAAATTTACAAAAAGAAATAATACAATGTACTTACATTCACAATATCTATTTAACTATCAATACATTTTAAATCTATACGAACACTCTGGACACTTATTTATTTATCTACGATGTCTTTAATGACAAGGAATATAATCGTACTAACTAATTGTATACTATCGGTAGTGAATTCGGTATGCTAAGCTCTTCAATCGATAATCCGTATTTACATTAAGTACATGAGATGCATATCACTTTATTTATAATACAACGCTACACACTAATAGCCTTGTGGCCTGAAAACATCTTCATCACACTCGCTCGCGCCTACTCATGAAAACTACGGTAACAATTGAGAATAGACACCTATTTGGAATTATTTCTGCGAGTACCAGTTTAATGTCAATATGACCAATATTACAATCGTCTCTACTAAAATGTTCACAATAATCTTAAAATGTCTTTTCCAGATTGGAATGTACATCAACATCAGAAATCTTGTTTTGGCGCATTCGACTTCTCCCTCATATAAACACACAAAATTAATTATCGTAATACACAAGAGTCATTTGGATGCATCGACCAGATTATTGTAACGGCGAATGTCGTGTCGTGTTCTGTATCAGGTATGGTCCGCTGCCGTGGCGGCGGCGGCGGCGGCGCGGCGGGCTGCCGGCGCCACCCGCCCCATAAACGACCTGATCTCCTCGAAGTACGTCTCGTCCGGCGACCGTCGGCGGCCATCGTCGCCGTTCTCCGCCTCGTGCTTCTTCAGGTGCCTGTCCAAATTAGTCTGCTGCCCGAAGCAGCGGTCGCAGTGACGACACCGAAAAGGCCTCTCCTTATTATGGATGTTCCGCACGTGCCGCTGAAGATTCGAGGATATCGAGAAGGATCTCTCGCAGTATTTACAGCGGTAGGGTTGTTCACCCGTGTGCGTCCGCAGATGTCGGGTCAGGTTTGCGCTTCGGGGGAACGCTTTGCCGCAGTACGAGCAGGTGTATCGGTCTCTAGCGCGCGGGGCGCCAGGGTTGGGGGGTATGGGCGGCGGTCGAGGGGCTCCCGGAGCGAGGAGTGTGGCAGCGGCTGCGGGGAGGAACGGGTATCGCCCGAACGATGCTGGTAAGGCGAGAGGCAATCGTCTACAGAACTGAAGAAGTGCTGGGTGAGCGGGGTGAGCTGGGTGCGTCGGGTGAGGCGGTGGCGAGGGGATGATGAGGTTGCAGTTTTCATCTTCGAGGCGCTGGGGGCGCTTGTGGGTGACGCGCAGGTCGAGGGGCTCGTCCGCGCGCGGGGAGCCGAGGGGGCTGGGGCGGCGCGGCGAGAGCGGGGGGGAGGCGAGGCGGCGCGGCGCCGCGTGCTTTTCACGCATGGCGGCCGCCGCGCACGCGCTCATCGGGCTCGTGCGCCACCGACCTGGAACAAGGAAAAGATACACTGTAACCACTGCTTTATCAACTGAAATGGTGGATTCATAAATCCTTATGTCTTCCAATAACATTACCGGCTATTTTACAACTAAGCCTTCCAATAAGATTTGTGGGTGCCAGAATTGAAACCTCGTTATAATGTAGTAATCCTCCATTTAGGACTAAGTAGGTAAGAACTTATTGCACAATTTCCACAAGCCGGCAATAACTCTTCATTCTCCAAACCGTGGAGCGTGACAAATGACCTGTCAGATCAGCCATCTTAGCACCTAGGCGTGTCCAGTCTAGCTTCCTGCAACCTTGACAGCGTCCTAAAATCGGTTGCGAAATGACGCGCCGACAGCGGGGGTGGTGCGCCCACGCAGAACGCACGCCCACTGCCTTGCGACACCGAAACTAGAGCAGCTACTAGTGCGGTGACGAGGCATTGTCGAAAGGGAGATTTGTTTATTGTCGAATCCTAATCTGATGAGTTGTTGCCAAACTTCTTACTAAACATTCTGAGGTCAGGCTTATAGTTTTAATATTGTGAATTCGAAAGATCGGTGAAAACAAAATGGCACTTCAAAAATTTGGCTACATGCTACTGAACCTAAGAAGGGAATGCTTATGTATGAGCCCCTTAAAGAAGCTTCTAAGTGTAGACAAATACCTCCTTATTGCAGGAAAACATGACGATGAAAGTAAAAGGGGCGTTAAATGAGTTGTTCTCGAAAGTTACACGAAAATCATACCTACGTAGCTACTGCACAAAGTCTAGTACTAGAACATCACTACAGTCGCCGAATCAGCGATGTATCCGATTTAATTATTAACGCCGCTTTATCGGCTGTTTCATTACACCATAAATACCGTTTGCCAGCAAATTGCTAATATCCTAAAACAGGTATGTCTACTGTAGCTCAGCTTTCCTGTTTTGGTCTTTAATCTCCTGTTACGTCCAGTTTAAATAATATAACATCACCGCTTTCCATATCGACGGATGTTTTTATAATATACAAAAAGCCAAGTTTGGTTATCAAGGTTTCACTTTTCGAATTGATAGTCTCCACTCTCTAACTTATCTTTATAATAAGCTGTACAAGTAAAATAACGAAGTCATAATGAGATACATCACAAGCAATTTGCGTGGTAAGTATGAAATCTTGTTTTTCGTTGAACGAACGTTTAGTGCTGAAAGGCGTAGAAATATCTAGAAAAATCTCTTTCTAGAAAGATATCTATTTTATCTCGATATGTTAAACTGTTAGAAATAAGTTTTCGTTCTGAAGTTCTAGGTTTTGCGTGTTTTGATGAACAATGCCTGACACTGGCTCATTAGGTCCTGTATCAAAACCTGTAAATCAATTTTATGGTTTCCCTCTCAATGCTTCAGCTTTAATTCGGTGTTAATTTATAATTTGTCAGTCGCTTGACAGACTAATGTGTATACAAAGCAGTAGTACATTTCAAGCACGATTTCGAAGAGGTGTGAATGGATTGTATTGTCTCCTCGATCGTTCCGAAGCCTACGCAGTGATTACAAAAATAATAAGCAATAATCGTGCACGATAAATTGGACAACTTCATTCGAGTGATTGATCGTAGTGCGCATCACCCACGTACGTCACGCTTATTGTTGGCATGCGCGAGCGATGCAAAGATACTGCCCTAACGTTAACTATATTACGATTTTATTACAACTTAGAATGATCGATTGTATTTTAATTTCGAGTCACGTTTTTTACTGCGAGTAAGACGGTAGAACTCGCTCCAGATGTTAAGATTGATGTGGCAGTAAGCATTATCTTTTGGACGACAATTCATAAATCACATAATGATGATGAAGCTTTTGAAGTTTATCTTTTGGATTGTGAAATATGTGAAAGTCAATGTTAGAGTACCAGAATAAAAGTGATGTCCCTACAGTAAAAGCAAAGAATTCTATTCCAATTAAGTTTTTGATGCGTCTTGTAGAAGTTAAAATTCTAATTCTCGTCAATGAAGCAATGCCTACTAGACCAAAGATGTTAATGGTTGAGAATCAGAAGCATGCTATGGCATGCTCCACGACGACATAATGGTCGTACCTACCTACACGAAAACGTACAGAATTTTTGACTTCATCTTGGAAATTCTTCCAGTCCTAGACAGTTAGAACTACTTTACTGGCCAGTTTTAAATCTTCCTTATCTAGTATCCTCGGATTTGTCCGCTCACGCCGCATCGACACGCTGCTAATTTGCTCCAAAAGCAGCGAGCATAAATCCTTCGGGCGCCGCCGCGCGTCCGCGCCGTATTTGGGCGGGTCGTGAGTCCGCGCTATGATTAGTTAGCGCGACCCTCCAGCAATCAGGGACTTTATGAATGCACACTTATTCATAAAGATATTTATTCGTTTGTCTTTCCAACCCAGTTTATTAAGAAGCGTTCGACGTTCGGGAAGCGGCTAGCGTCAGTCTCCAGCAATAAGCACCTATTCGTGGAAAAGCTAAAAAAAGGCCTAGGGAAAGAAAAGAAAAATTCAATAAGTCCTAGTTTGAGTTCTTACTCTTCTTATAATCACAATGAAGAAAATTTCTTGGAGTCCAAGTTGGATGTTAAGCTACTAATAGGTCACAGGTGCATAGATGCGAATCGCACTACTGAAAATAAAACTTCTCGCTTATAAAGTTACGTCCAAATAGACTTTACGACCATTTTTATTTTCACTAAAAAGTTTAGCTCCTGCACTATTGAGTACTAAATAGTTACTAGCTACAGAATCGGGCGGGCCTATCGGATTAGCTTTGCATCCCGCCTGAAGCCACTGGGATGCAAGTGTCCAGATCCAGATATGCATTATGAATGGTGTCATCCATCTTGAGAGGATGCTTTTACGTAAAAGTCTATTACTGAAACAAAACACTTGAAATATTGCTCCTTTAAGACGTGGTAGGCCTGCAGGGTTTTATCATTTTGCGGGTCTATCAGCCACCAGTTACAGGCTTTGCCTTGGGCAGGGGTCAAGTACAGTCCAACAGCACATCAGATAGTATACTTTTGTTGCAAAATTGTACCTATTTGAACACAGTTGTGTTGTACTGTCTGTAGAACCCATTTTAAGCTGTAAAATATAAAAACCTTATGGTATATATTATAAACGAGATTATGGGTCTAGTAATGGTATGCAATCACCACCGTCATTTGACATTCGAAACATCAGAAAAGTTGTCAACTTTTCTGCCTTGCCTAGGCACGCAAAATAGGCATTTTAAATAGGTCTACTTTGTCTGTCTTTATTTCAACTTCACATTGAAAACTCACTTGACTCCGCTCTAGTTCGTGAGGGAGTAGTTGTTAATATATCCCGTGTATCGTGCTTTTGGTCCATAAAGAGGCGTAATGTGGACCATGTACATTGTACACGCTCTCGTGTGAGATCGGAATCGCTTTAACTCGTACAGTATGTAAACAAATTACAGTAGTCCCCTAACGAAGGTAGCTCACGATTTTGCTATTAATATGCGCTTAGGGAATGCGAAATTTATTAGAGAAATTGAGGCTAATCTTTGTAAGTGATGCGCTGGATAGTGATACTTATAAATAAGTGAAGTAAATAGCAATTTAACTATGATGATATGATGGTAATTTTTAGTGTGAAATGCATTCTACCCGTTCGTAACAAATTAGTTTTCAGTTTATAAGGACAGACTTTGCTTTGTTTTGTCACTTGTCATCCGCTTTGCACTGGAGAGTCGAACCTTAATTTGAACTCCTCCTATGTTCTTCTGATTAATTTCGTTGCGGGTCCAATGACAGCCAACTTTCTCCCGGGACAAACTTGACTTTCACTGGTTGGGTTTTTATTGGCGGTCAATGACTGATCCTGGCTACACAGGAGTTGCAGGAGGTGGAAACGAAAAGAAGGAATAGTCATAATAAAAACGATTTTTGTCTGGTCGTATAACATATTTTCTAAATGGTCGTTTCGAAGACGAAAAAGATATCAGAGTGAAATAGACAGCGAGCCATACATCTCAGTATCAATCCCATTAAATAAATATAATAGTTCTCTACCTCCCAGATTCATTAAAGTTGACCAATGATCTGAAGCGTTAGAAAGGCGTGCCGAATGTGTTAAGAAGTTTAAAGAATCTGTTTTGATCAAGAAACGAATTAGACATTCCGATGAGATAACGGCATCGAGGACGCTGCAAAGACGGCTTGCGTGTAATCATGGAAATGTTTACTACTTATCCGAATAAAGTAGGTCAGTAAGTATGCATCAATTAGGGCTTGTTCCCATGGAGACATCCCGTTTTTTTTGCAGGGTCCAGTTTAGTAGTTTACGTTTTTAATATTAACGTTCACATGAACATTTGCAGTTTATTGCAAAAAAAAAAAACAATCAGTGAGCTTACCATGAGTTTACATTAGGTGTGTTCGCTAGCGACTGCGTAAAAAAATGACATTAAATGTATGACAGATTGTACAGCGACCCTAGTGGCTACTTTCAAGAATTTTTGACGCACTTGCTAGCGAGCACACCTAACTTAAACTCGTGGTAAGCACACTGTTCGAATTTGTAATTCGAATGTCAAACATTCTGATCCTGCATCACTGGATCCCGCAAAACTGGATAGCCGTGGGAACTAGCCCTTAGTCAGCAGCCCTGGGATTAGTATGACAATGTTTATATTAATACGACGTGCTTAGAACTGAGTTACACAAGGTAGCTTACTGGGTTAGGACCGCTTCCGGTGAGCTCCGTCGGCCATGCATTGATCAATGTGTGTTATGGCCTCTGCGCTCGCGCATCGCGGGGGCAGTCACGACACACTAATTATTGTTAATTGCGCTTCAGAACCACGTGACGTACCGCGTAGGCGGAGCCAGCTCGCCGCTGTATGTTAATGCAAACACCGTGACCAATGAGAACCATCAAGACGCCGCCTCATGTGATATATTATCATTTTGGAACGCTTATTCGTTACCGCGCCTCTCCAAGTTTCACGCTAACCTAAC